GTCTTCGTCGGAAGGATTAAGGAGGAATAAGCCCCATTGGGGGGCTGTTACGCTGGAGTGGGCCTCGGACTAAGCGGAACTAAGCCGGATTAAGCGGGATTAAGCAGGATTAAGACGGATTAAACAGGATTCATCCAGATTAAGCTGGATTTCGAACCAGGGCAAGATCAGATTTTGACCTCCCAGGAGTTGCATCCGAACGACAGTGGTCGTCGTCGTGATTGTCGTGGTGGTGGCGGTGGTCATCGCCGCCCTCGCCGTCGTCGTCGCTAGCCAGCGTTCTCCCCGCGGTCGGCCCGAGAGGGAGAGCGCGCGGAGGATCGAGCGTCGAGGAGGACGATCAATGAGGATCAAGGATCGAGGGGGATAGAGGATCGATAAGGATCCAGATGTCAACCTTTCAATCCCTCGAAGGCGAGGCCCTGTCTAGAACGCCGCACGTGATGGCCCACTGCATGCGCCGCCCTCCGGCGGGGCGGCTGAGGCGGCGACGGGTAGCAGCCCAAAGAGTGGCGCCACCGGGGCGCTCAGAGCTGCATCAGCTCGCGGGCAGCTCGAAAAGAAGCCCCGCGAAGGAAGCACCGCAGAATCGCGCGAGGCCCTTGAGCCCCTCGATCCTCGATCCTCCTCCCCATCTTTCTCCTCCTCCTCCTCGATCTTCCTCGATCCTCGTCGATCACCGATCCTCGATCCTCATCGATCATCCTCCTCGACCCTCGATCCTCCGCGCGCCCTCCCTGTCGGGCTGGCCGCGGGGAGAGCGCCGACGACAACGACGACGACGACGACGACGACGACGACGACGACGACGACGGCGACCGCGCAACGACCACGGCGACGACCACCACCACCACCACGACAATCACGACGAAGACGACGACGACGGCGGCGGCGACGACGACGACGACCACCACCACGACGACGACGACCACCACCACGAAGACGACGACGACGACAATCACCACCACAACGACGACGACGACGACGACGACGAAGACGATGGCGGCGGCGGCGGCCAGCGGCGGCAGCAGCGGGCGGCGGCGGCGGTGGCGACCGCGCGCTGCCTCCTCGCCCGCCCCCTCCGCCCGCGCCACGGGGGATCCTGGAGGGTGGAGCCCGCGGAGCGCTCGGAGGTCCCAAGGCGGTCAGAGGGGGATCGTCGGCGGCCCTCCCCAAGGGGGAGGGCGCAGGGGAGGAGGGAGAGAGAGGAGGAGGGAGGAGGAAAAGAAGGAGGAAGAGGAGAACAAGGAGAAAGGGTGGGGGGGGCGGGCGGGGGGGGGTGGGGGCACGGGCGCTGTAGTTCATGCTTCTCCCCCCCTCTGTTCTGCTGTTCCGCAGCTCAAGAGGCACTAGTCCCACCAGCCCTCTGGGCGTCGGTGGTTTAGGGCGTTTCCTCTTCCACCCCTCCTTCTTCCCCTTCGGGGAGGGGTTTACCTCTCCCCCTACCCCCTACCCTGGACCTGGACGGGGGGGTCCGCGAGTCGCCAGAACGTCCAAAACGGCCTCGGCGAGGAAGCCAAAATCCGCCGGCCCCCTTGTAGGGCCACCAGGCTGCGAGGCGCGTGATTCGCAGTTTCCTGTACCAGTTGTAGTTTGTAGTTTCCAGTGTTACAGTTCTGCTTCTTGCTGGTTACTGTAACTAGTTGACTTCTTGCAGGTTACTGTAACTAGTTGATTGACCGCGCGAGGGGGGGGGGAGGCCCAAACGGGATTTTTAGCGTCTCCTGGGCGCGTTGTCTGAATTGCTGGGGGGGCTCGAAATCGACACCCCTCACGCAGATCCGCGGGGTCAGGGTCCAAAAACACAGGGGATTTGCCACATTTCTGAAATTCGGTACCACCCCTCACGCAGATCCGCGGGGTCAGGGTCCAAAAACACATGGGATTTGCCACATTTCTGAAATTCGGTGCCACCCCTCACGAAGATCCGCGGGGTCAGGGTCCAAAAACACGCCACATTTCTGAAATTCGGTGCCACCCCTCACGCAGATCCGCGGGGTCAGGGTCCAAAAACACAAGGGATTTGCCACATTTTTGAAATTCGAACCCATCACGCACATCCATCGCAAGGCGTGGTAACCCAAACTGCGAGAACTCCCTCGGCCCTTTCATCGCAAGGTGTGGTAACCAAGCCCTAAAACCATACACGTCTTACCAATCGCCAGGTGTGGTAACCCCTCTTGTGATCAGTTGGTTTTGCTGATTGCGACTCGGCTTCGCATGAAGTTTCGATACTGCTTCACGACAGCGCCAAGGCCTCATGACTTAGCTCTTCCATGGCCCATTCTCCGAGAGAGGGGGCCGGCGGCAGGGGGCGAAGCCCTTACGGATCATTGGTTTTACTAGGGTTCGGGCCCCATTTTGGCCTCTTGGGGGGAGGGACACAAATTAAAGTTCCCCTCTTGTTTGATCGATCTCCTCCAAGATAGCCCAAAGAAGCGCCCAGGAGGCCCCAAGAGGTCCCAAGATGGCCCCAAGATGGCCCCAAGAGGCCCCCGAGAGGCCCCCAGGAGGCCCCCAAAAGATCCCAAAAGGATCCCAAGCGGCCCCAAGAGGCCCCCCCGAGGCACCCAAGAAGCCAAAGAGCCCCCCACGACCGCCAAGAGACCCCCAAGAGGTCCCAAGACGCCCAAGAGATACCCCAAGAGGCTCCGAGAAGCATCCGAGAGACCTCTGGCCCTTTTGCTTGCTCTCCTCCTCCTCCTCCTCCTCCTCTCCTCCTCCTCCTCCTCCTCCTCCTTCTCCTCCTTCCTCCTCCTCCTTCCCCTCCTCCTCCTCTCCTCTCCTCCTTCTTCCTCCTCCTATCCCTTCTCACCCTCCGCCTCCCCCCCCTCCGCCGCCTCCTCCTCCTCCTCATCCTATTCATACTCCTCCTCATCCTATTCATACTCATTCGCCCTACTCCCTCATCCATCCATCCAATGTTTTGCTTCGCCCCCCCTCTCCCCTTCACACGGTTCGGCCGTCCCGCTCTTTGCACCCGCACTTCCCTGATCACATCTCAACTCGCCTGGACATCGTTTCTGGATGGGTTGGTGGGGGTACTTTTAAGTCAGCGACCGCAGGCGAGCGCGCCAGCGGCGAGTCCAGTCAGAGCGGGCCGCGCAAAGACGAATTAACCTAATTAAAG